CAATGGTCTAACGACTACGGCATGCACAACTATGAGTACACCCCCCCCCCCGCCCCACTGCTGATGCTCATATCTCACCCGCTATCATAGGTGTCTTGGAGAGCTGGGGTGGTGGCGTTCCACCAATCAGAAGATGGCGTGTGGAAAAGCCGTCGATGCTTGGGCTCGAATCGCACCGCGGTGGGCGTTGCTTCTGGTGTTGGCATTCGTTTGCCATGGTGAGACAACTGGGACAGGACGGCGCGGGGGGGGGGAATGATCCGTTCAGCGCTCTGCGTAGAGCTGTTGGGGCCCCCAACTGGGCGATTTTGCATGGGAACCGCTTTGGGCTGAGCAGCAGTTTCGCGAGCGAGGGCTTTTGAGGATGACAGCCCGATCGTTTTCCACGCTCTCCTAACTGTCACCGCCGTTTGTGTCCTCCTCGCAACCCCCGCCCCTCCCCCCCTACACACAGCGAGTGCGTCGACGAGCTCGGCGGCGCCCCCTCCGTCACCAGCGGGTGTAACGATTGCCCCGTCTACCGCATCGGCGGCGTCTTCGGCGACGGCGGCGGGCGGGGAGGAGGAGGAATCATCCAGGGGGGGGAAGTCGTCGCTAACTGTGGTTGCCATCGCGTTCGGAGTCGCCGCTTTTGTCGGCGGCGGGGCCGTGCTATTGTATTGGCTGTGCAAGAGGAACACTAAGCAAGATCGGAGGAAAAGAAAACGCAGCAGTGGGAACGCCACCAGCGGCGGCATCGGCGGCGGCAGCAGCACGATCGCCACGTGGAGGAAGAGGGCTAGCAGCGGCATGCGCGTCGGCGACGGCGGTGGCGGCGGCAGCGGCAACGGTAGCGGGGGGGACGCCGGCGCCGGAGTAGGGGGCGGGCGGTACAACGAACGGGAGGTGATCCCGCCTTCCTCCTCTCTCTCTTCTGCCAACGCCTCGCGGTCGGTCTCGCTCGCTCTCATGGCGGCACCGTTTGAGGGGAGCTCCGCCTGGAACGCCTCCGAACCTAAGCGAGAGTTCGACTTGGAACAAGGCGGCGGCGGTGACGGCGGTGGCAACGGTGACGGCGGTAACGGTGGCGGAGGCGGAGGTGGAGGAGAAGGCGGCGGAGGCGGCGAATGCGGCTACGGTACCGACGGCAGCAGAGCCACAACACTCGGCGGGAGTAGGATGGGCCCGCGCTTCGCGAACCCTCTGTATGCTTTCCGGGTTCCCCCCAAGCGGAAGCTGGGACACGGGACGTCGACGGCGGGGGCGGCGGCGGTGCCGGCGGCTACGGCGAGCCCTAGCGCCGCCGGCGACATGGACGAGGACGACTACGGGGCGGAGGTGAAGGAGGGCGGGGGCACGGGTTTCTGCGTGGGTGGCGATGCTAGCGACAACAGCGGCAGCATCGGAGGCGGTGCCGGTTGCCGGGTCGGGGTTTCCCCGCGGAAGGCGGTAGCAACTACGCCGGCGGGTGGTGGCGGAAGGAGCGACGGCCTCGACGTTGGGGACGAACCGGCAACAACCGAGCTCGACCAGCCCATCGAAGGTGGTGTTGCCGGAGGAGCGGACTTCAGCACGGCTACGACCGGCGCCTTCAGCGACAGCCTCGGCGACAGGAGCAACGGCAACGGGGCGTACCCGCAGCCCGTGGGCATGGAAGGGGTCGGGCCGCTAGGGAACGGCAGCGATGCGGCCGATGCCGCCGAGGCGTTACGACGGTCGTCCGCGCCCGACCTCCCGCGCGTGCGCTACAACAACGACAAGAACCCTCCCCTTCCCCGACGCCGGTCGCTGGGGGACGACCCCCAGGCCCGAGCCAGGCGTACGGCCGGCCGCTTCGCCTCCGCCTCCTCCTCATCGTCGTCTATCGCCGCGTCTTCCGTGCTCCAGGCGGCGGAGGGAGCCGTCGCGGGGGCGCAGTCTCTCTCCCCGCTGGAGACATTCGTGCCCGGAGCGCGGGAAGTGTCCGGCGTGGTCGCCGGGCTCGCCCGGCTNGGGGGGGGGGGGGGGGGGGGGGGGGGGGGGGGGGGGGGGGGGAGGGGGGAGGAGGTATTACAACCGATTTCTATGTTGTCGTTGTTGTTGTCCTCCACCACCTTGGCCGATCTTGTCTCTACGCGCTTGTACCCCCGAATGTTTACAAGCGTATGGGTTGTTTTTTATTAACCGAGGGTTATATGTTTCTCCTTTGTGCACTAGGACTGATTCGAAGAGTTTTTTTCAAGGGTTTTGTATATCGGTCGCGCCGGTGGTCTAGTTGGTATCGTCGCAACCTTCTGGAGGTCAGGTGAGGGGTTCGAGTCCCGGCGTAAGCGAGCTTATCTTGCAAAGCGAGTTTTTCTCTCGCTTCCGCTCCTGGCCTAGTGGATGGCGCTTGTTCGTGTGTACACATAGGGAAAGAGAGTGCTGCACTCATCTCGCATTAAAAATCGAAGGAAAAGTACCGCAGGAGGGGAGGGTAGAGAGGGGTTTTGCTGTGTGACCACGGGTTGGAGTAAACGGCACCAGTGCTGTGAGCGCTGATTTGAAGTGGAGAAAAAAAAAACAAACGCCGTGGGTTGTGTGTTTCTCCTTCGTGTAACTGGGACTAATTCGAAGATGTTTTTATACGCTTGTCGGCTGTGTACATGCGTCCGATCAAATCCTGCAGGCCACGGAGAATCCTCGGGTTATATGTTTCTCCTTTTTGTCTCCCAACTTTTTTTTTTTTGCTAGTTTTTCGTCATCTTTGTGCATACATACATATATCCGACCAAAATTTGAAGTCACGGAGCACGACATCAACGCAAAATGCTACGTTCCCACATGTTGCATATATTTCGCCTTGGTTTCTAGACTTTTTTTTGCTCATTTTTATTGCCGGCTATGTGTGCACATGTCTGATCAAATCTTCTGCAGGCGACGGAGCAGGACACCGATGCAATACGCGTCGCTCTCGGGGCGGTGCGGGAGCCCGTTGCGTGCATGGTGGAGATCGTGCACTCCTACAAGAACACGCACGTCGTGTCGGAGGTGTTCTTCTCGACCATGTTCCGCCGGCGCCAGAAGGAGGCCGACGAGGCGATCCTGTCAGCCGAACGCCTTGTGAGAGCAACCTTACGATAGTATTGTCGTCCTTCCCGCCGCCCGCCCGCCCCCCGTTTCTTTTCCCTCTGCGTCTTGATGCCTTCCCCCGATTATCTTGCGACCGACGCGATGGCAGGGTAGCTTTTTATCCGTTTTGCTCCCGCTTTTTTTTGCCTTGTTTTTTCTCTTGCCTTTTTTTATTGTTTGTTTCGTGTGTGTTAATAATTTCCTCCCATTTTTTCCCACCGACGGCAAGACAGGTAGCTTCTTGTTCGATACGCACGCACTGTAGCTGAAATCTGTGGGTGCGTATATTTTTGGTGCAGTTGTTCCATCTCACGACAAACCCAGAGAGTTGATAGATACGACCACCTGGTCTCTGCTACCTCCTGGCCTCAAGCGCAGCAGCTCTTGGACAAGACAAGATGGGACAAGATGTTTTTGAAGTTTGAGCAGCCTTGCGGTGCACCTGCTTCCCGGCGCAACAAAAACAGCTTTACCAAGGCCACGAGTACGGGGATATATGTCGACCGACCCGAATTCGCCATCGTGCAAAGTCTCTCGGGGCGTTTGCGAGGTATATGATCGAACAACGACGGCATGCGTTGACGTGAGTACCCCGCCCCCCCCCTCCCTCGCTGCCTGCCGTGTGTGTGTTTTTCGGGCGCTGAATATGACAACGATGGTGATGCCAAACAACGCACGACAATGACAGCTGTCCGCTCGGCAGGATAACTCCGAGAGCCAAAGGAAAACCTCGGAGGTGAGATAGGTCACCAGCACCAGCGCCACCGGCAGGCTAGTGCTGTAAGATCAGAAGGGTTTCCGGGTGCATGGTTCAGGCTGGGGGCCAAACACACACACACACACACACACACACACACACACACACACACACATTAGAGAGTGATTCTTTTCGAGTTTGGGCCCCTTCCAATGACCTCGAGTTCACTTACCCGCTGGCACTGGCGTCTTTTCACCGGTCAGCCGGTCAGTGCCGTCGATGCTAGAAATATAAACGCGCACTCGTGCCTTCAAACGGCGTGCAATATCAACTGGAACGGACAAGACAAGACAGTCTTTTTGTCGGGTGTTGTATATGGCACGGTACCTTGTGGTACATTAGTGGTGCTAGTACGTGCTGTGAAGGGTTTTCGAAATCATCGTAGGGCAGCTTGGTTGTTTGTGCGGATATACGGCGATCGAGAACCCGCACGCAGGTCTTGTTGGCGAGGTGCTACACACTTCACCGCTTTCGCTTCTCTGTTTTTTTTTTATTTTGCTGTTCCCCGTGTGGCAACGAACCCCTCCTCATCCTGACGTCCAAGCAGCAGGATCGCGTTATGCCCAGCCCGGAACCTAGGGGAGAATATATCTACCAGCGTGTCCAACACACCGCTTGTGATAATCTAACAATCCTTGGCTGTCTCATCGTGCTAGGCTCAGCCCAGGAAGGAAGAAGAATAAAAAAAAAAAACACCAGCGTGTGTCCAAGCCACCGCTCGTGGTGAACAAACACTGCGTGACTTATCCAAACTCTTTCATGCGTTGTGGGAATGTTTTGCTTGTATCGTCCGCAGATGATTCTTGCGAAGGCCGAGCGGAAGCGGAGACACCGGCAAACGGTTCTCCTGGACGAGGTGGACATTCCCTCCTCCACCCTCGAGATCGTGGAGGACGAGGTGCTCGGGCTAGGCGGTTTCGGCACGGTCTTCCTCGCCGACCTCGCGGGCGGCCTCAACGCCGCCGCGAAGGTGGTGACCTTCCCCCGCGGCTCCGCCGGCCACGGCTGCGACGGCGATGACGACGACGCTGCCTCACGTGCCGATGACGGCGACGGCGATGAGGACGATGACGACGTCGAGTACGACGCCTCGATCGATACCGGCTGCAACAACAGCGTTAACGACGGCAACATCAGCAGCAGCAGCGCGCCCGTCCCGACCATCGTTCACGACAACCGAAGCCCGAGCATGGCCGGAGACCGGGCCGTGGACCTGCTGCCGCGGCTGCGGATCGTGGAGCCGTCGGACCAAAAGGCGAGGAGGAGGGCGGTCGTGGCGAAGGCTAAGAAGTCCGCCGCCCTGGCCAGGGCAGAGGCGAGGCAGCGGCAGGCGCTCTGCCAGGAGCTGGAGTACATGAAGCGGCTCAGGGGGCCCCGCACGGTGCACACATACGGGGGGGTGACCGCGCTCGCGAGGGACCGGGTGCGTACGCATGTGTGTGATGTATGGATTCGAGATTCTCATGGGATGCTCTGGGTCTGTTCGGCCGTACATCGAATCAAACAAGAAATCAACCAACTTCCATGGCCAATCCGTCTTGTTGCGCCTCCTCCCGTATAGTAGGCAAATTTTGTTTTGTCCGCCTTCGAAGTACGGCACGAAAGTAGGAGTGGAAACACCCACCTTTCCCGTTGACGATATCCCGCACCTTCTCTCGGTTTTTGTACTCACTTTCGTCATTCGTTGGACCTCCCCTTTTCGACACATCCCTCCGTGTAGTTCCTAACGATCGACGCATGCTTCACGGATACACACCGAACTGAGTGGAAAATCGAGTGTGCACGAGGATCGCAAGCCAACAAGCCTCACCTTGTAGCGGACGACTGTACCACCCTTTCTTGTGTGAAGTGTCTTGTCTGGCGGGTTTAGTTTCAGCCTTTTGCTCTTACGCCTTGCCCCGCTTCCCAGGTGGTGCTGGTTATGGAATTCATGCCCGGGGGTGACCTGCTGAGGAAGCTCAGGAAGCTCAGGAGGCCATTGGAGGAGGGGGTCTTGAGGCAGATCGTGAGGGATGTTTGCGAGGGGATGGCTTTCTTGCACAGCAAGGCGTTCGTGCACGGGGACCTCAAGTCGTCTAACGTCCTATTCGACGCCAGGGGGAGGGCGAAGGTATGATACGGGGGGTTAATTGTGTTTGCTTGTTGAATTTTCGAAACGATGTGCCAGGCGCTTGCTGAAAGTCGAAATCAAACCTTTAAGATTACTAGTCAGCGTGTTTGATGCTGTGTCTTCAAAGCGCTGCGCTGGGCACTTCCAGAAGCCGAAATCGAAGCGTTTGGCTACCAGTTAACCAGCGCAGAGTAGTCTCTAATGGTTTGATTTCGAATTCTGAACACCTGCGGCGTTGCGGCATCGCCTGTTTGCTGCTGAGGTGTTCAAAGCGCTACGCCGGACATTTACAGAAGCCGAAATCAAACCGTACCCTTGTACTACTATAGTCAGCGGGGAATCGTATCTAATGGTTTCATTTCGGCTTCTGAACACCTGCGGTGGTTCAGCACAACCACCGTTGTGGCTCTCTCTACCGTAAGGACGCCCGAGATTTTCGTTTACTTTTTTTGCGATGACCATGTCAAGTAGATCATGTTGTGCGGGGTCGACGAGAACCCTCATTCCGCGCAAGGGGGATGATCGCACCACGTTGTGTTGAAATGGTCAAGCACCCTCGAGGCAGTTGCACAGTGCTTACAACTGTCTCGGGAAGTGGAAGCACCAGGAAATACACTGAGTCATGCGCAGCTATCATCCGTACGCAAGGAAGTAAGCACAAGATGCCGAACACCCTTAGCAGGATGCAGCGCACCCTTCATGCGACTCGCCGAATATCTCACGGCGCTTCGCGCTTGGTGATGTGAGAGCCTGGTCCGGTGAGAACCCGGCGTGCTCCGTCCCGGCTTGTTAGCGATGATGCGAGGTCGATGGTCTAACGACTACGGCATGCACGACTACGAGCACACACACACACCTTCCCCCACAAGGGATGCCCAATGAACCCAGGTCATACCGCAAGAATGTGAAACGTACATGGCCTGGGCCGGTGAAAACCCGGCATGTTGTTGTAGGGGTGTGAGTTCAAAGACCTTGACTTTAACAGCTAAAGCATGCATTTACATGGGTACGCCCCCACCCCCCCCCTCCCCCCCACGCGCTCGAAACACGACCTCCGTTCAGATCGCGGACTTGGGCACCTCGCTGTGGACCCAGTGCACGAATCGTATCGCCACCTACACGCCCCGACCGGGAGGGCTGATGAGTCTCCCATGGGCTGCCCCTGAGGTACGGGGGGTTCTGCGGAACCATCCGTTGTGGGGGGGAGGAGGGGGGGGGGGTCAGTGCAGGCACTCCCCCGTTCTCGGAAGAATGGAGTTCGTGGAGGGATGGGGTGGGATGGGGCTGATGTGTTGGCGGACGGCGTGTAGATGAAACAAGTTTTATCACCACACTATCCAATGCCTCCTTTTGTATGCATGCTTCTGAGGAAAAACATGCCCCGTTTTGTTAGTCCGCGCCTCCCGCGCTCACCGTAGCAATGAACGGTTTCGAACTTGTTGTTTCCTCGTCCCCTCTCCCCCCCCCCTCAACGGGGCGCGTCTCACGCGCTTCTTCCATCGCGGCGAGATTTTACTCTTTAGCTCGTCTGGGTCGTTCCCCCATTCAACATGTATCCCCCCCCCATAGTCACGTTGCCGGATATGTGTATCATATGCATACGAATCGAGACAATGAGAAAATGAGCAAACATCCAATATCGAAACCCGTCGACCAAAATCTACTCCAAGTCGATTGCTACGAATCGCGACAAACATCCGATATCGAGAAGCATCCAATAATCGAAACCCATGGACTTCTTCTCATCCGATTGCTGCTATCTATTAAAATCAGGTCTTGCGGCACAGAGGGGCAACCGCCCACAGCGACGTCTACAGCTTCGGCGTGGTGCTGTGGGAGTGCCTGTCCCGCAAGGTGCCCTGGGAACACGTCGTAGATGTCGGAGATCTGTCAATGGCGGTGACGAGCGGAGAGCGACCGGAGATGCCGGAGATATGTCCCCCGGACCTGGCCAACCTGGCGAGGGCGTGCTGGAAGGGCGACCCCGCCGCTAGGCCAACCTTTGAGGCCGTGCTGGCTAGCCTTGGTTGATTTATTTGTTTGGTGTTTTGTATTGGTTGGCGTCTTTTTTATTTTTTCGTCTTTTTTTTGTGGTGGTGATGGTGGTGGTTTTCGTTGCGGATACTGTACCGGTTGGGACGTGAAGCTCCCTAGTGCTGACCACCATGGGCCTGTGACTTGTGTGCCTGTATGCGCCTTCGTCGCTGTTCCTACCCGGCGGGTGGGCAATTTGAGGCCGTGCTTGTGTGGAGTTTTTGTCCGTGTACGGTATCGTGTTTCCGTTCGCTCGTCGATGTTATATCGAGACAAGATGCCATTGCGAGTCCGGCCGATGATGGTTGGTTCTCCCTTTTTTTCTTGAGTGTCCGCAGGCGGCGACCAGACTCGCGCCGTGCTCTGTTTTTTTTGGTGAGTGAATGGTGCGTGCTCGTTGTTGTTGTTGCTGCTGCTGCTGCTGCTGCTGCTGCTGCTGCTGTCTGCGTTTGCCCCTCTGTCCGTTGTCCACCATCATGGTGTTCGTAGCGGCCTTACCACCGAACAGGTGGAGGGTGGTAGTGTGGTAGGTTAGTCAACCGGAAAAGCCGTTCACGTCTATGTCTGCATTTGCATGCGTCATGCGTGTTGTTGTCCGTCATAATGGTGCTGGGGCTCGCTTGGTAGGAACGAAAATAGGCTAAGAAAGAAAAAATAAGTAAAGAACAAGAAGGAATGAAGAGGGCATTAGTTTAACGACGGGAGACACTCGCCCGCCGGCCGAAGCACGTCTTAGCGACAAGGGTTGAGGGTACCGTACGTAGGTGTCATCATTGCTGGGTACCAGCGAGGCAATGATTTGTGGGTAGGTAGGACTTGTGTCTTAAGGTGGGAGATTCTTTCCCCCCCCCCCCCCCCCACCCCAACCTCCATCGATGAGGACGGGCAGACCACAATTCGAGTGCAGTAGACTTCGTAGTATTTTGTATGAAAAGAAAATGACCAACCGAGGTATTTGGAACGTGAGCAGGCGAAAGCCCAGCTGTAAGTGCTTGGGGGAAAGTCTGGTCCGCGCTCGCTTTGGGGTTTTGTTTCAGGACGTGCGTGGCTGGCTGAGGAAAGGTTGAAAAGTTTTGTTCGGGAGGGACGAGATCGATCACCCGCCAGTATGTGCTACGTACGCGAGTTGTCGTCACCATGTATATGGATGGCAAAGTGGAGTTCATTGGGATTGTTAGAGGGGACGAGATGTTCCGATGCTTTTTTACCTGGTTTACCGTAATTATTCATATGCCGTTGATCTATCTATATCTGTATTGGCGGGCGGCCCTATGAAAAGAGAGCACCACCTTCTTTTTTTTTTGTACTTTGCTGGTCGTGCCACTTTTCGGGCAACGGAGGAAAAGCGGAGGAGAGGCTGCTAATCTATAAGTTCGCAGCGGCCTATTTTCTTTCGGCTGGGGCAGAGGCGGAGCCTTGCGTCTTTTTTTTCTGCTTGCTGAGGTACTTATTGTCCGCGTGGTAGTGGATGAACAGCTACGATCATGACCGCCGGAGCAACGAACGCCCACATAGGGGTGGCTGGTAATTCTAGCACATCCCGTTCT